GTGTGTGTGTGAGAGTGAGTGAGAGAGAGCGATAGAGAGAGCGATAGAGAGAGCGATAGAGAAAGCGATAGAGAAAGCGATAGAGAGAGAGAGAGAGAGAGAGAGAGAGTGAGAGAGAGAGAGAGAGAGAGAGAGAGAGAGAGAGTGTGTGAGAGAGAGAGAGAGAGAAATAACATTGACGACGGCGCAGAAAAGTTTTCCTCGAGTTTAGTCACGTAAACGAGGAGGTCTCCCACTCCAATGCTGTCTTTTATTCTGTCCATCTAGCCTATTTATTTCTTCCTGTTTTATTATGTTCTCGTTTATTTCTTTTCTGTCTGTCCTTTTCAGCACTATTGTTTGTCCTTCTCCCTACAATGTCACCTTTCACCTATGTGAGGCAGCGTGGTGGAATCAGGCTCTCGTCAATTTTGGGGGATGTAGAGTTATTGGTGTCATCTTAAAGCTTGTTCACTTGTCTTTATTTGGATGATAAAAATATCCATTTATCTTGAAAACAAGTCGAGATATTTGCGAATGAAAGAGGTAGGGGTTACCTGTTTTCAGAGGTAAAATTAGTGAGAAAATGGCCGCCAAAGATTCGTTATTTCCTTAAGAGTCCGTGGTAACTGAAAAATTTACATTTTTGGTGCCTTTAATCGACGTTTTTAAGAAAAATCCACTCAGAAATGTGTTTTTTAATGGGCATGAAAGGTGTTGAGCCAAAAAAACCAACAAAATTTTGATAACAATTTACAAACCTGCAGAAAAATGCCAGTTTCTATACTTTGATTATTTTGACGAGAGCCTGATTCCACCATGCTGCCTCACAGATTATTTTTCTTTTTTTGCTTGTTCCCATTCACATCTTCATGTCCTTCGTAGTAATGTTCTGTTTATTCATTATTTTCCATGCCATTAAAATATTACCTTGACATCAGAAGATTTGTTCGAAGCGAAGGTTTTTAGAGTTTTTGGCCACGTGAAAAAGCAAGAAGGCAGACAAGAATATATTCGCTTAATGGGGCTTTTCTGTTTACGAAATCCAGCAAATTATAATAGATATTGTAATGCATTTATTTTTTAAAGGTTTTTACGCATAACGGAAAGAAAAATGCTCCCCCCCCCCCTTCCCCTACCCCTTTTCCAAATTTTTGGTGCTGGAAAAACAGCCATCTTTGTCTCATAACATGCCATTTACCAGAATTAAAAAAAAGAATAACGATACATGTACATGTATTATCTGATCTTGAAGGATGTTGATTTACTTGTACTTTTGCAAATGATGGAAAAACTACTCAATATCTTTACTTCAGTTTAAAACTGGTCATTTGTCTGATTAAATCATCATCATCCGGTGCCTTGCAGACTGACGTGGGCGACCATGGAGCTCCATTTCACTCCGTCTTGCGCTGCAGCAATGGTGTCGGTTGTTCTTGATGCTCCGATTAAATGCGTATCTTAAAAAAACCTCAAACTGAACGAAAAAAATAAAAGCTGACAAAATGAACGCCTCATCACTGATTGGCTTCCGAGACGAAGCTCGCCCTTGAACTGTCAGGGTAGCCTTAACCCTTTCGCCACCGCAGTAGCTCGCGTTAGTATTGACGAGCTGTCAACAAAGTCTGCGCTGCTCAAGGCTCGACCGGCGTGGTAATCGCTAGCTAAGTCCTGCTTCAGACATAGCCGCTGGCCAATTTGATTCTGTTTGTCATTGATATGGGCCAAGAAATCCAACATGGCTATATTATTTTCTCTGCTATAAGAATTCGGGACGCCTCCACTCACTCTTCCCCCCCCCCCATCTCAGTTATCCTTCAACAAAGCAACTCCATCTCTTCTCACCCCCCCCCCCCCAAAAAAAAAGAAGCAATTCGGCCTCTAGTATAAGAAATAATACGAGTGTAAGAAAGAGTATAAGAAATAATAATATATGTGTATATAGTGTAAAGCGCACAGAGCTTGCGGTATAGCCGGGTTATGCGCTATACAGATGCTATCTATTATTAATATACAAGTACTTACTTGGTACATCGTAATTTCGTGTCACTGGCGTCTGTGGTGTTGTAGTTACTCGCACGCAGAAGTTCCCAAGCGTGGGGAATTTCTTTAGTTTTGGTTTAGTTTAAGTAGAGGTTTTACGGCGCTCGCAACTGCATAAGGTCATACGAGCGCCAGAAGATTAGAAGTGTTACAAGAGAGTAACAAACATAAACAAGAAGAAGGGGAGACAAGGACGATAGATGTTTGATAGGTAAGAAGACTCAAACCACACCAGAGCACCCTCCAACCACACACCCTTCAGACGGACTGCGTGGTAATTTCTATAACGGGGATCTTATTAGGACTTGGGGCTCCTTGTGAAATAATTCTAGGACA